GGAGTTGGAGGTTGCTGTGAGCTGTAATGCCATGGCACTCTGCCCAGGGGGACAGCTTGAGGCTCTGTCTCAAAAAAAAAAAAAAAAAAAAAGAATTCCTGTTCTCATCAAGAGGAGACAGTTTCACTGATTGTTTCAGGAGTAAAATTGGTGATAATGATAGAGGAGAGGGAATGTCTGGGTGGCTCTGTAATATAGAACTAGTCGTGAGGGCGGCACCTATGGCTCAAAGAAGTAGGGTGCCGGCCACATATACTGGAGGTGGCAGGTTGAACCCCAGCCCCGGCCAAAAACTGCCAAAAAAAAAAAAAAAGAACTAATTGTGAGCTATCACAAGTCAAGGGAGAACCTAGATAATTAAAATTATGTATACTTTAGATAATGGGCATATCTTCCCTTGGGTAGTTGAGATTGTTTTAACATCATTTTTTATTTTATTCTATTTTTATTTTTTTTACGTCTTTTTTTTTTTTTATTAAATCATTGCTGTGTCCATTATTGCAATTGTGGGTTTTATATCATTTTTTAAAAAGGAATAAAACTCTTATCTTCCTAACTGGTTTATGCAAGTCAATTTTTCCAGACTTTGTTGATGAATAATTATAATTCTAAATGTTAAGTTAATTTTGCTTTTATGATAGTACATTAACAGGGAAACATTGATTTCATAAGCATAGCTTGAGTTTTTATTCAGGCTCAAAAGGTACTGTACAAGTGTCCAATTTATTTTTTTTTCAGTTTTAGGAGTCTTATCCAGTATTAATTCAAGAAAGTCATATATGTGCAAGCAGTAACAACAAGTAATTGATTGTATTTTCATTTTAAGTAAATCATTTTTTCCCCCAAACCTAGGCTGGGTGGCAGTATGTCTGTTTTAATTTAAGTGGCTGGTTTAAATAAATTTCTGAATGTTGTGATTTAGAAACTTATTTGCCACATGCATAGTGGTAGTAAATTGTTTAATTATGTGAGGATTCATGATAGTAAATTACTGGTAAAAAGTTATAGTGTTTGCGCATGGTCTAATAGTCTCCCCAGATTATTTTCTTATCTGGTAGCTATTACTTGAGTTTTTGGTTTCAGTTTGTTTTGCTCTATTTTCATAAGTTAATTTTGTGTCAGTTTTAATCTTCCCAGTCCTGAAAAGTTTTACAAAGCCATGTGAACACATTTTTTGTGAAATAACATTTCTGAAATAATTCAGTTGACGTAGGAGATAAAGTATCTGCTAAATTTATGCTGGCATTTTATAGTATTCTTTGTATTACTTTAATCCTAGTACATATATGAATAATATTAAAATATGTAAAATTCATATGTGCAATTTTACCATTATAATTATATTCCTGAAAGCTAGCTTCAGTCATCAAGGGGGCAACAGATGAAGTATGGAATTTTCTCCCATGTTACCTAATTTTTTCTTCTTTTGTTTTAGCACGCTTCCTGGGCTGTTACAGTCAATGGACTTATCAACACTGAAATGTTATCCTCCTGGCCAGCCAGAAAAATTTTCTGCATTTTTGGATAAAGTTGTTGGATTACAAAAATAAACACTAAGCTCTCAACACTTTAAAAACACCCCCCAAATCCAACCTATGGAATGTGGTTAAATCAAATTAAACATTTATTTGCAGAATAATATAAGTAATAAACTTCCTATATCTATAGAATGTATAGGAAATGTTATGGTGTACACATTTGCATTTGTGTCCAAATCCTAATTAGAATTTAGTAAATTTATTAGCTTTTTCCTGATCTTCAATATGTAATGAGCTTTCGCAGGTTTTGTCCTAGAATCTCAAGTGGATTTGGAATCATGAAAAAATGAACAAAATTTGAAGACTTTGACAAGGAGCATAAATGTAATTAGTTTGATATTCCTTAGACTAAAAAAAGTAAACAGTAACAAGTTTCCATTAGAGTCAGCATTTTTAGCTTCATAATCCAAGAAACCTTTTTTTTTTGTTTTTGTTTTGTTTTTTTGAGACAGAGTCCCATTTTGTTACCCTGAGAAGAGTGCTATGGCATCATAGCTTACAGCAAAACTCTCAGCCTTGAGCAATCCTCTTGCTTCAGCCTCCTGAGTAGCTAGGACTACAGATGTGCTATTTTTTTTTTCTATATTTAGTAGAGACGGGGTCTCTCTTGCTCAGCCTGATTGCCAACTTCTGGGTTCAAATGATCCTCCCCCCTCAGTGTCCAAAAGTGTTAGGATTAGGAGTGTTAACCACCACGACTGGTTCCAAGGACCAAATTTAAATAACAAAACCCAGAAATGATGGGTTGTGTACTGGGAAATAGTTCAGTCCTTGCTTAGAAAAGATTACCAATTAAGCTAATCTGTTGTACATGGAGAAATTACTTTTATGCTGAAGAATAGAGTGGAATGGTTATGTTCACTTTTTTAAAGTCTAAAAGTGACAAAATAATTTTGCTCAATGTCAAAGCTTTGTTTGAGAACAACAAATCAAAGGACT